ATGCAATGTTAAGGGATAGTTATATAAGATAACTCCATTGTATATGTTACAGTAAAACTTCCCAACTTCTCATTCGTGTTCTCATAGTTAGGTTAAGCCAATTTCTGTACATAAATTCGTCTAGATAACTGTAAATCATCCTATTTATTGATTCATTTACCGATCTGATCCTCCGTTTTAGGTGACTCTAAGAACTTTCGTTGGAATCTGTGTGAGCCCCATCAAAGGGATTAACGAAATCGTCCGTATTATTGACGATGTTATGAATATGACCCAAGGATGACAGCTAGCTATACTTTTTCTTCTTTCCAATGAGCCTGATATCTAAGCAGTACTTACGGCACTAGACTTAGATGAAATCTGATGCGTTGTTCGTTTACGGCGTCCGTCACTCCGCCTATACACTGCAGACTCATCCGACCGGTAGCTTGAGGTCATCAATCCGTTCATTAGGTGGTTTCGTTTCCGGCTGCCACAGTTTAGAGTCACCCTTCACAAAGAAACTCAAGCGGGTATTGGTGACCAGCTTCTGTCGTGCCTGGATGACTGCTTAGGCGAAAGGAAATTCCACACTAGTGTTAGTCGGCTGCGGTCATCCCTGCAGAGTTTGGCATCGGGAGTATTACGGCGTTCTATCCCAAGCCCCTTGACATTTATCAATCACCTTCCATGCCATCTAAACTGTTCGTCTCTCCTCTATGCTCACGACGTTAAAATCTAGGGAGTGACAGTGTTCTCGTCAAACTCGAACAGGCTTAAAGACTATGGGAGACTGAGCACTGATTACTCGTACGGCTTTCAAATAGAAAAATTCAAAGTGGTGCAGCTACGCACCTGTTAGCTGCAGAATGTAAGTTACTCCATGTGTAACGAAAACCTGTCCTGCCCAGAGTCAGAGTGCCACTAAGGATTGGTCCTAACAGAAAAAATGGACACAAGCGGGAATCACATAGGGAATGTAGAGAGGACGCAAGAGACTAAACATTTTACACATAGACAGTAAGGTGGGCTCACTCCTAGGCTCTTTCTAAGATTATACAAAAAACACCTTGATATGCACGATATCACTGCTCCCAGTTACTTGGAAGAGACCCCAACATTTTGGGAGGAGAGCGAACCCGGGCAACAGAAGAGGGTCTCCGAAATGGACCATACGATGGACGGGTGAAGGAATTCGGTCTTTTCGCACTTAGATACCGTTGGTTTAAGGTGACTTAATTAATGCCTATAGGATTACAAATGACCAAAATCACCCAAATGAAGTTATTTCATCATTATCTGTGGGATTCCTTGTCACAGTCCCCCAAAGTTAGCACACCAGAGGGCAAAGACTCGAGTGCGGTGTCATATCCTTTAACTTTGAATTTGTCGCTCCTGAAGCTCTTTTCCAGTAGATATAGCCACTGCACCGTTCATGGAAAGCTGTAGGTTATAGTTGGACAATAGTGCAGCGACACAAGGACCGAGTCCAAACGGTCTATTCCAATAATACTCACACATTGTTGACAAGCATACGCCTAAACTCGTCTTTCAATAGCATCCTAGTCCCCACTGTTTTATTCTTCAGATTACCACACCTATTCATTTCCCTGCATTATTACTGATATGTATATACATATATATGCACGCTGACCAGCAGATACGGTGGTGGTCACAAATGTGAATAGCTGCAATCTGTAGGACAGTAACACGCAATTTTAGCAGCTTGAGAATTAAACATGAGTCTAGATTCTTAACAGAAAACAAAACAATAAGGGCTTTACAGATCAAATTTGTTTTCAAAAATGAATTTGCTCCTAACATCTACAAGTTTGCTCAAATCCTTGTCATGATGCTACCCCATGGGTCCTACAGAAATTTGTGAGACGTCTTACAGGTCGGCATATCCTACAGGTTCTAATCTTTCAGATCTTTGGGGCCACTTTTCGCTGAATTATCACTTATGAACTTCACAATAATGTTTTTTATCTAAGAACTATTCTACTATACTTTATCTCAACTACCTAGGCCTCTAATACAGTTAAAACTTACTCCTTTATTCGAATTTTTCGTTTGCTTAAATTCTGGTTGCTCTGGTGGAGAAAACACAATAACACCGATGTTTGGACAAAGCCATATTTCCATCGAAAACGCCATAGCTTCACAGGTAAGACCAATATGGCTAACACTATAAATTGCGAATGTATACTATCATTCCAAGGGCTCCGTAGCTCCTTGTAAATGTTCTTTCAATGGTTTATTATCCATAATTGTATTTTGTACCATCTTTCGGCTTCCCAGGACGTACTTCTCTTCCTGAAATAGCATACACTCACATGGGGCATAGCACCTACCCACATATATTTTGTTCATTGGTTGACCGTAACTATCAGCAGGAAACAAAACGAAGTTTGCGTTGGCGCTTGACCTTGATAGTGACATTAGTAGGGGTTCGCGGTTTAAAATTTATACGAAACTGTTCTGACTGATTGTACTATAATCCGACAAGCTAAACTTTTAAAAATGTGCCAATTTATGGTACCTCACAAATGCAATTTATAACATCTGATCGTGCCTGTAGAAATGGCATGCATTTCATGTTAACTTACCCGCTTATTATTAATAATTTAACATTTATAATATGTATATATACTGATTTCAAATTTCATTAGCTATCTGTTCGTACGCTTTCTTTTTTAGAGTTTACATAATCCATTATTATTGTCTCTCTTTCTGATCCCCCCAGACGACAAGTAGGTGAAAGGATCCACTCCAAATATAGCAGCGATGCGGCTAAAACATATCACATACTACCAACCCCATAACTACTAGTTTGAGAGTCGACCAAAGCCATGACAATGGAATGGCAGGATGAACTACGCAGAATTTTACCGAGGGTCAGGGACCCTTACTTTGCGACCAAGAAGTGCACAAAGGAATCAGTTTAGTTTACATTAGTTCTTTAAAACGTCATTGAAACTCAGCCTGTCTCTCACTCGCTGCAAAAGGTCACTGATAGGGATGACCATACTGGTATCTGCCATAGTCCATAGCCAGCGAGTTGACACAAAGAAGTCGAATTGAAAAAGTTGCATACTCCCAGGTAACTGAACCTTTCATCCCTTGGGCTACGCTAGAGTATCAGAAACACTACCTCTCTTGGGTAAAGCGAGAGATTAGTAAATTACTCAAAAGTAAACACAAATGCTAGAACCTGTTTGCCACTCTTGAGACTCCTGCGACTACGAAATTATACAACACTGCTAGGAACAGAGCTATTGCAGAAATCCGCCAATCAAAGATGAAGTTCAAAGCACATCTGGCCCAAAATACAACGCACAACCTAAAAAACTTTCCTCGTACATGAACTCCAGGAACAGCACATTCGATGGGGTCCTAAACCTGACTATTGACAACGACACAACCGAAGAAGATCAAGAAAAAGCATAAGTAATAGCAGACTACTTCTCCCAAGTCTTTTCACAGGAGTCGTCACTCCCCATAGGATCGTCTCTGGCTGCATCAGAGGTACACGGGATAGACTCCATGGATGTTGACCAAGAAATCGTGCTCAACTGCTCAATGAAACTAGATGCAAGGAAATTAGTGGGTCCTAATAATCTTCGTCGAAGGCTTCTCAAGGAGCTATCAGCTCACAAAGCCGGTTCACTGATCATGATCTTCAAGTTATCTCTCCTAAATGGATTGTTACTGCGTGACTGGTAAGACACCATGGTAACCGTTATCCAGAAAGTGGGATCAGGACAAAGACCTTCAAACTACAGGCCTATTAGTCCCACCAGCACCTCAATCAAGACACTGGAAAGAATCACCAGGAAGAGTATCGTGGTATATCTGGGAAACTACAACAAATTGTCCAGAACACAGCATGGATTCCGAGGAAACCTCTCATAACTGCCAAATCTCCTATCTGCAAGAGAAAGCTGGGCCAAATAAAGGGACAAAAGAAGACCCGTTGACGTTGCCCTCATACACTTCAGCAAAGCCTCCGATAAAGTTCCTCACAAGAGACCACTCATGAAGTTGGCAAGGCACCCTAATAAACTGGATCAGGGAATTCCTCACACATGGGAGGAAGAGGGTCAGGACCAACTCAAAACTCTCCTCGTAGACAACAGTGCGTAGTGGAGTGCCACAAGGCACAGCACTCGGACCTTTCTTATTTATTTTGTATATCAATGAGTTACCTGTGCTCACGGATTCCCCCGTTGTTCCATAAGCAGGAGAGAGCTGAAGAGCAAAAGCGTTACGCTCACGTTGCAAGAAGACCTCAAAAATTGTTGGAGTGGTCCAGAGAATGGATGCTCCCATTCAATGTAGCGAAATGTGCAACCATGCGCATCGGACAAGCAAGCATCAGCTCCTAAGAACTAGAGGGAACAAAACCCCCATCGGTTCAGACTCACTTGGATTTAGGTGTCATAGTTAGTCACAACTTAAAAACCACAGCACACTGTCGCGTGGTGGCTGCACGCAGTTTCAGATCCTTGTGAGCGATTCGCAGAACCTTTACTAGAATCACCAGAGATATGTTCACCTCCATATATGCATCTCTGTTCAGGTCAAGACTAGACAACTGTATCCAGGCAGCCAGTCCTTGTCTTAATGGGGACCCACACATTCTAGAAAGGGTTCAAAAGAAGGCAACGCGTATGGTTTTCGGCATGACTAACGTATCATACAAGGAAAGACTAGACAGTTTAAATCTCTTCTCCCTGTCATACCGTAGGCAGAGATGAGATTTAATTACTATGTTTAAAATTTTAAGTAATGACTAAGGACATGATCTGTTCTCTCTTTTCTTTCCCACCAGATTGGAAAATCTTATAGGACATGGCAGGAGAGTTCAAAAGCCAAAGAGAAACCATATCTTTGTGGAGTACTGGTTCTCACACCTAGTCAGAAACTCCAGAAACCGACTCTCAGAAGAAGTGGTGTCTGCAAATTCAACTGATTCACTCAAGAAGGTTTTGGACAAGCACAGGAATTTACTAGAAAGGGATTAGCATAGGCTCCAAGCCTTCTATCTTTAACCAATAAATTTGAATCTAAGCCCTTGGTTCGAGGTCGAATCCCATTGCGGCTATTTTAAATACCATGCGGAGAGTGTGGAATTAATATCTCCAAATATGGTTCGTGGTTTGCTCAGTATTCGTGTGCATTGTGTAGATTCGTTCGCCTCCTTATCAGGTTTCATTCTAGGCTCTACAATCTTTCTGTTTCTGATTAACATTAATCTGCGCTCTTCGCTGTTAAGTCATGTAGCATGGTCAGCAATTCTTCAAATTTGTTTCGTATTTCCGATCATGTTCTGTATCATGTTGTACCTTAAAAATATTGACACTGCAACTCGTCGATGTCCTTTGCTGGATAACTGTTGGCGTGCATATTTTTTAGGTTGCATATTTGGCATCGGCTTATTCTTTGCCTTGGGTTTTCTGTCTATGGACATGCATAATGATTATTGTACATTTGGTGTTTACTTAGCTTTTCTCGCTTTTTTCCATTGGTCGGAATTCTACTTCACAGCTGTCTACAATTCCAGTAACTGTTCTATTGACATATATATGCTCTCTCATAGCACTGAATATATAATTGCTCTTGCTACGAGTGTATTAGAATACTGGTTGGAAAAATTATTTATATCTTATTTTTATCCTAATCATGCATGGAATCTCCTTTTTATCAAGTGTGTTGGGTCCATCTTGTGTGTTTTTGGTGAAATTTTACGCAAGTTAGCTTTGTTTACAGCAGGAGAGAATTTCAATCATTTCGTACAGTTTCGAAAGAAAGGAAGACACCAACTGGTTACAGATGGAGTTTACTCCTTTTGCCGTCATCCAGCCTATGTTGGGTGGTTTTGTTGGTGTGTTGGAACACAAGTTCTACTTGTCAATCCCATTTGCATGGTAGCATATGCTTTAGTGGCATTTAGTTTCTTCAAAGATAGAATATATGAAGAAGAACGAGCGCTTGTTCAGTTTTTCGGTGAAGACTACCGAGAATACCAGAAAGTCGTCCCTACTGGAATTCCCTTCATATATGGATACATATCCCATTGAATCACTATAGTAGTGTATATATTATTGCTGTACAATTTCTCATATGAAAATAAACCATTTAAGACTTGTTTATTATCTTCTAATTGCCTGTATCAAATGTTTACTCTAATGCAACTATCATTTTCTAGAGTTCTCTAACTTGTACTAAGACCGATTTACCGGGTAATGTTGTTAGACATAGGTGTTAAGTGGTGAGGTATTTAGGTCTAAGTAGGTCAGGGTTGCTGGAAAATATTTTAGTCAATCTGTGTCGAATCTGAGAAAATATGTAGCGCCTATCAAACTGAAAACAAATCGTCACTAACCAAAGTTGTATTACGCTTGCAGTAAGCATAAAGTGGTCTTTTCACTACTATAAAAAGTCACTGGGATTCTGTCAATAAGTCTGAAATGACTAGAGTTGCGTGGAAAAAACAATAGTCAACAGCTGTGGTTTTTAAGAGGTATTACCTCAATACCACTAAAGAACTATCTTCACCCTTTCTCCACATTTTGATAATCATATTACCGTATTTCTAAGTATTCTTCTTTCCAACAGCTTTTGGTTTTACCCTTCAACTTATTGAATTCCGCTCTCTAATATTACCCGGGACAGATTTTTTATGTACCAAGCTAAGAGCCACACTTATCCATGCTGAAGTAGGTGAACCAGGACTTGCACCCATGACCCATCGACTGGAAACCGAGTGCTTCCGCCAATAAGCCATATTTTCACTACGTGAGATGTGTTCCAGTATTTTAAGAACTCAGACGAATCAATGAGAAACTTCCAGGTGTTATGATTCAAGTGGCCATACTTCGAAGCGCATAAAAATATAAAAACAAATGTAATGATATCAGAATCAACGGAAATAAATTTAGGAGTGGCAATCGTCTAATGAATGTGAATGAGAATGACCAGAATCCTGAAAATGATAAAAATTGAGCAAATCTGCCCAGCACTCTAATATGAATGTGGAAAATTAGACCGATGAAGCTGTCATAGGTTCTGTGTTTTGCCTGTGAACCTTCATGAACCCTGCGTTCAAGTAACTAAAGTGACCAAATCCACGTAATTCAAATGATTGGGCTTTTGAATGACCATGAATAAAGTGTCGATAATTAACCTGGTAGGCAGTGACTGTGTTTAGTGGTTAAAAGCAATCTGCAGAAATCCCTGAATCTAAAGATTATAGTTGCTTACACTCGTTATCAAGGTATGTACCCAACTTTAAGGGAATTAGTGCTGTCCAGGCAATTCTGTAAGAAAAATTCCAACTCTGGCATTTAGAAAGTCGATTTAAATCAATAAAAATATCGGTTCTCTTGAATATGCAGGTCCAACTTTCTGAAAAGTGTCAATTACCACAATAGTCAAGTATCAGTTTTCCAACGACTCTCTTCAACATCTAACATTTATTCAAAGTACACCTTAGTGGTGAGGCTTATCGCAGTGACTGCATTACAGACGTGATTGATAGAATTCGATCAACGTCAAGAACTAAAGAATGTCATATAGATTATTCAACAGTCAGTTTAGTTATATGTTATGTGTACCAAGCTACTATTTTCCCTCCAACACTGTTAATTGATACAGATCCAGTAGACTGTAGTGAAATAGCTTTCACAATCGGGTTTTTGTGGAATTTACGGACACTTCTCGTTAGTTCGCATACCTCCTAACTACATGCCAGTCGATTATTATGTGTGACAGTTATTAGCTACTATTTCTATCACAAGTGTTTTTACTATTTCAGGCAGTAACACTTCATACGGATCTGGGCGATTTGAAGGCCGAGCTATTTTGTATGCAAGCACCCTTGGCTTCTGAGGTAAGATAAACTAGTTACTCAGCTCACGTTTACTTTTTTGGTAGTTCTCTAGTACAAGTTGGTGATCATGATATTTAATCCATCTGTCTACAAGTGTTTAGCTAGGAGAAGTGTATTGTTGGCCTGTTCACCAGCAAGTGTTCCCCATATAATCAACACATTCTTGAGAGTAGGGGGATCGTTAGACCGTGCTGTTTATTGGCCTTCGAGAAGTCGTATGCAGTCAGTTGGCACCCTGTTAATTGAATCCCCTTCTTCTGAATCTTTACAATATACGCTTAGTAGACTCTTATCCTTTAACCATATGTACTTTACTACTAACCCTCAAAGTAAAAAAGATCTGTTCAGATTGCCAATATTTCGTATTTGTTCTGATCCATCTATATGGCCGGTTGAAAATATCATGAAGTACCTATCTTATGAATATCCAAGTGAATTATTTGCAAAAGCCAATCTATCTATTCATCAGTGTATTCCATCGTCGAAAGAAATAATCGAAATTCTTATGTCCTGCGAGTCATTTGACGAGCAAGTTTCCACTTTATGCAAAGTTAACTGTCTAACTGAACAAGATATTTTGGCTAGATTTATTTTGTGTGATAGTATTGAAGAAATCCTCTGTTGCTTATTCCCAGGCACAAAAGTTTCAATATTCGGTTCAGTGATTAATGGTTTAGGATCAGTCAATTCAGATATAGACTTGGTTGTTGAACTGCCAGGAAATTTTAAAGATATAAAACATTTTAGCAATAACAATAAACAGATGAACGATAAGTCAATGCCAATCAATCCCAATGTTCTACTATTGGACCCAGAAGTTCTGAAAGATAGATTTCTGTCTTTCTTACAATTTATGTTGAGAAGATTGGATCCTTTAGGTTTTAGACAGACAAGGATATACACTGGTCGAATTCCTATTCTTCATGTGGATCAAATTAATGTATTTAAAACCGGCTTGGATATCTCATGGTGTGTTAATAATACTGCATTTAATACTACTAATTCATCGCATTGTGGAGTAAAAATGGCTGAGATACTTCGTCTGTTGACTTTATGCGTCCCTGGAATTCAAAAGGCTATAACTATGTTAAAATATATAGCCCGTGAATTATGTTTAACTCGTGATGGTCCTAATCCAGGATTTACAAATTTCAAGCTTGTTACTCTTTTAATAAACTTTTTACAAGTTTCAAATTATGCACCGTCGTTTATTCGTCTTCAATCATTTATTGATAATTGGGTAGTGTTGTATAACGATGATGATATTGATACATGCAGTGCTTCTGATATTCACTCCTATTTTTATGATCTTAATCCTCTTCCGTCAATGGATGTGATATTGGACAAATTCTTATCGCATATATGCAGTCTAAAACCTGATGAGGTGATCATTGATCTACATAATGGTTGCTTAACTTCACGATCAGAATCCAAATGTAACAATGATACACATAGTAAAACACATTTTGTTCTGTGTCCAGACCCTACCCGTCCTCGTCACAATATATGGGCTGGTATTTCTGAAAATCATTGGCGTACTTTTGTACAGATATGTTGTTTATTGCAGGAGAAAATTAAAGTGATTCAGCATAAAAAAGTTGACTGTAAATGGGGTATTCTTGCTGTATCTGAGTTAAATGATTGTACTAGCTCACCAGCTACAGAAAACTGCAACAATTTCTCTTTAGACTCTTTATAATCTTTATTTATTTGTGTATAAATGATTAGGTATATCTTTGGCCAGTTTAGTTTTACTAAAGTATTTAATTTTTCTTCTTTTGTAAATACAACCGCGATGTATATGTACAAATATTTTTTTCTTCCTCTTTCTTCTTCCTTTATGCATTTGTCTGTCTCTTTTCCATGATTTTTTAGAATTTCTTAGCCTTATGTGCTTCGGATTATTATAAAGGGTGTATATTTCATCGTAATATCAAGGGATTTATAGTACAAACTGGAGATCCAACTGGTAAGATCTAAGTATAACTTATAATTTATTGTGTGTATACCTTTTAGGAACAGGCAAAAATGGTCAAAGTATATGGAAAAAGAAATTTAAAGATGAATTTCATGATTCTCTGAGGGTAATTTAAAAAATAAACCACTGTATACATATATTTTATAGCATAATGCTCGAGGGATAATATCGATGGCCAACAATGGTCCAGATTCAAACGGATCTCAATTCTTTATTACCTACAGCAAACAAACTATGTTAGATATGAAATATTCAATTTTCGGCAAGTGAGTTCTAATGTTTCTAATACACTGTGTTATTATGTGTAAGAGCTTAGGATATACTACCAAGTTGTCTATGCTAGTGATATTTAAAAAAATATCTGTAACGTCACTTTAAACTTTTCGTCAGTTTTGTTTTAGTCAGTATTTATGCACTTTTAGTTGAAAACTGTTTTTTTTCCTTCACGTTCCCCAGTGGAACATAGGGCTTCAACCTTGTGGCCTGAAGTTTCTGTAGCAGTGTTTATTTTACAGGATGGGGTTGCTAGCCTCATGCCTAACCTTTCCTCTTCACCAGCATATAAAGGAGTGCGTCTGTGGCTGGGGATCGAATCCCGGACGATGTGCATGGTCGGCGAGCGTCCTAACCGCTATGCCACCGACGCACAGTTGAAAACTGTAGCTGTATAATTCTCGAAGTTCAAGAGGTGGTTGCACATTAAGTTTGGTAGTCAAACAATATTTCTTTTCAAGTCAGATAACTGGAAATAAAAGCAGTAACTATGTGTTCGATTGTACATTGGCGTATGAGCCATACACATTACATGAGAGTTAGTGATACTACCTGGTTACTGGAATCCCGATAGGCCAAGAGGATCTATGAATATAATTCGCCTTCAATGAGCTTTTAAAACAAACTAGTAGGACATTAACCTTTATTATTTGTAGTTTAAATAAACATGAGATTTCAACTAATATGAAGATCTATCAACTGTGTTGGCGGAGTTTGAAGCCGAAGAATCATTGGCTAACTGAATCCAGAAGTGGTAGATAGAAACGAGTTTAAAGATCTTGAAGAGAACTTGAGACAGTAAAATGAGTAAAATTAAAAATAAATGGAAGCATCACTAAACGAGATTATATGATCAAGAATTATTTCAAACCATATGATCTACTTCAATTCAATTTGGACTTTCCCGTTGATTGATTGAACCGAAATGCTCGACTTGAGGTCGACATGTCAGCTTCTTGGGCAGATGCTTCGCTGATGTCTGATTATTTAACTTGAAATTGGTGGATGGTGACTGGCAGTGGAATCCAGGATGCATATATATATATATATATATATATATATATAATCAGACATCGTCCAAGCATCTGCACAAGCAGCTGACACGTCGACCCCAAGCCGAGCACTTCGGTTCAATCAATCAGTGGCACGGCGGTTAGGACTCTCGCCGACCATGCACATGGTCCGGAGTTCGATCCCCTGCCGACGCACACCTGATATCAATGGTCGGCCTGCAAAATTTGGGCTACCGATATCACATGCTGGAAATTCTATACTTGTACCATAAATACGGTGTGGAATCAAGCTATAGTCAAAAATAAGAAAAATAAATAAATAAAAAAAGATGAAGCCTAAATTGAATTCAATAATTACTGATACCCATTGCACGAGAGGTGGCTCTCGTGGCCCAAGTAGTCTAGTGGATAACGCTTTGGCGTTTGAAACTATGGATACTTGATTCTAGCCTCAGTGAGAAAATCATCGCCCACTGGGCAATGCAAATACATCCAGATGACGAGTCCTTAATAGGACTAAATGAGCATCCTGAATTCCACTACTAATCATCATCCACCAGTGCACTTCATATGATCTACTGTCTCATAACACAGATCTTACTGGGAACGAATTTCATCAACATTACGTTGAGTGTTTTCATGCTATAATTCTTTTATATTATATTAAGCTGTATGGCTTGTAAATGTATGTTACCTCCCTGTTGATATTCACTGGCTGTGTATGTGATCGTAAAATTGTGTATCTGTTTCCCCCTATCACACAAACTTGTATAGTTGTAACTTAGTGGTTTAGACTTTTAATTTTCAACCAGTAGAAACATATCTGCAGTTCCATTTCAACTACCGAACTTTGTAGGCTTTTATATATTGAGCGTACCTCATTGTCAGTTGTATAGAAAGACATGTATTACTCAAAGCTGTCGGTACTTGATAAGATTTATGACCAATGTATCCGTCAGTTTCCCGTATTATAAATTTAATGAACTAGATTATACTAATATTTTCATTACTTGGTTAGCATACTTGTTTTATGACCTCTATATGATACCTCCTCGACAATGTTAGCTGACATAGGGTCAGGTTGGAAAAGAGTCAGTGGTGATCAAACTAAAACATGGCTTCATCAGTCAATGAAATCCACAACAGTTAGTTTAAGCCACGTAGGAAGACGTAGACTTCCTGGTTGGGGTCCTCGGGACGGTAAACACCAATGGTTGGAAACAGTTGATGATATGGCTCAAAATCGTTCTCAATGACAGTGTAGATGCATCTACTCCTTGTGACTTACAATTTCCAATAAAACCATATTGTTCTTCGATATTACTATTCTCTTTTGCCTCATATCTCTGTTTACTGTCTCTATTTTGCGTTTCTTTCTACTTTCCTCTTTGGCTTTGTGTGCTGAGTGAAGTGTGGCGACTTGAACTGCTGCACACCGGTGCAAAGTTTTATGTTGAAACCAAACAGACAGACAGACATGATTAATGTTAAATTAGATATGTGTATATCTGGCAATAAATCTGACTTATATTAGGCTGTGAGCCGTACTTAATGTATGAAAACTTGAGGCATTACCGAGTTTTCCAAGTCGAAATAAAAGGAACCGAGTTTAGATGCTACACTCATTGGTTAAAAGTTAAGTGTTTAGGCTGATTAACTACGTACCTGCAACACTATAGTACGGAACAGTTACGTGTTTACTAGTTACTACCAGTGCTTGTCTATAACAGTTATTTATTCTTACGAAAGTCAATCTATTGGTGTTGTTGTCATTTCCTTACAGGGTTATTGATGGATGGAATGTTTTGGATGAGTTGGAACGTGCACCTGTTGAAGAAAAGACTTACAAACCTTTAACAGATATTCATATACAAAATATTACAATTCATGCTAATCCGTTTGCAGAATAAATTGTCGCCGAAACTGCATTAGAATGTTTAAAATGAAATATTATGTATATATATACCCTATGAAATATAAAATAAATGTTTTGATAATTTGATTCTTTTGTTGTGTTGTTCGTACTGGTATTATTGTGTATGTCGCATTCTTGACTTGTATACTTTAGGTGCCACTTTTTACTTTTACTTGTCAGACTATAGATTCTCTAACAATAATTTATTCTACACATTGCTTATAGGAAAGGGATATATCTGACTTGGTGTTAGTAAGTAAGGGAGTTGATGAAATGTTTTTTAAAATACCGGACGGAGGAAACCTTAGAACATTTAGAAAAGGAACCAAATTAACTGAAAAAATATATTCCTTTTCGATTAGTGCGTCATCGACGGCTCTACCTTGTGAGTCGTGTAATGTCTTAGTCAATGGGAATCATCAGTTTTGGGGAATGATATATATATATATATATTATATGATCGGGCCAGGAGCCTAACTACCTGCGTCGGTGGCACAGTGGTTACAACTCTCGTCGACTATGCACATGGTCATGGGTTCGATCTCCTGCCGACGCACACCTGATATCAATGGTCGGCCTGCAAAATTTGGGCTACCGATATCACATGCTGAAAATTCTATACTTGTACCAAAAATACGGTGTGATTTCAAGCTATAATAATAAAAAAAGATTTAAATAGTGAAATCAAACAAATATGGAAAATATTACTGGTGGATAATTAATTACTCACCAGAATTTATTCGAAAAATCTTCTACGACCCATGAGAAAAATAAGAGTAATAACGTAAATAATATGGAATTTAAAGCCTCAATAGAACTGCCTCACAAAGAAGGGACATCAGAAGCTCTACATAGGATTCTTGATAATTCTGAAATTAAGGTTTAAGTACCAAACAAATTAGTCTGATGCTCGCTAGTGACTTGCTACAGGATGGAGTTCTAGTGAGAAGTCGTGACCAGTGAGGTCCAATTAAATGTCACGTGTGTGGATGGATGTCCCACCAACGACAATGGTTGGGGTCGCTCTAAATCACGAATTGGTAGAAGTTAGAATTCATGGACTGGCCATTGAATCGGCTCCCAGTGGCTGAATGGTATACGAGCCAGCTTGCCTTGTAACCGGAAGGTCCTGGGTTCGAACCCTGTTGGGTGGGTTTGTACTGCCAAGGATTCCCAAACTAGGATGAAACAGCAGGTGTCCAGTACTCGATGGTTTCCAATGGTTCTCTAACTGATATCAATCCGTGATCAACTCGTAAAAGCATAACTAACCCTTACAAACCAAACTATAGAAAATTAGTCTGCGTCAAACTTTTTTGGCTTAAGGATACAGTAAATCCAATTAAGAATAATATTCTTTACCAAATACCATGCAATGACTGTAAGGTCAGTTACATGAAGCAAACTAGCAGATCGGAGTCAATTAGATTATCTGAACAACGAAAATTTAGCCAGACCTAGAATGATTGACCCTGATAAGTTAAATAAATTAGGAAAAGACTCAGTCATTGCAATGCATTCACTTGCATGTAATCACATGCATAGTGTGAGACAGAGTGGAAGTAGGAAAAAGTAATACAGTTAGATGGAGAGAAAGGTGTATTACCCAATCTTTGTCCATCGAATCATGCAACGTCTATACTGGATATTTAGAAAATTACAATGAATAATGAAGGAATAATATGTAAAGTAAATTATACAGCCGTGTGAATACATTACTATGATTATAAGCAATAAATTGTGCTTGAAACACGTCTTGAAGTTATCAGTACTGTATCACTGTGTATTGTGTAAGACAAACTCGTGTAAAATACAGTTTTGATTTATTTCTATTTAGTGTGATGAAAGCTACATACGTACAACTGGTATGGTCCGGAGTTCGATCCCCAGCCGACGCACTCCCAAACCTCGCTAAGCCAGGGAGAGTTGGACATGAGGTTAGCAACCGCATCCTGTAAAAATAAAAGCCACTGCTACCGAAACTGCAAGCCTCTAGCTTGAATCCCTATTTTCCATTGGGATTTCCATTAACATGATGTTTTAGGCGGGGGTGGGGTGAAGTTAAAGTTGAGTGGATTACAACATTTTAAAAGCTTGAAAATGAATTCGTTGAAAAGAAATATTTCTCTTCGCTAAACAAAACTGTGTTTTCCTCATACATAATTTCCTGTTTTCTTTTTGTCTAAGATTTTTCACATAGTGAATAATAATGAAACCAGTCACTGAAATACCGATTAATGATTCCAATTAAAATTTATCCCATTTATATAGACTTTTTTCCCTTCACGTTCCCCAGTGGAACATAGGGTTTCAAGCTAGAGGCTTGGAGTTTCGGTAGCAGTGTTCATTTTTACAGGATGGGGTTGCTAGCCTCATGCCCAACCTTTCCTCCTTACCAGCTTTTATTATTGGCTTAGCGAGGTAAAGGAGTGCGTCTGTGGCTGGGGATCGAACCCCAGACCATGTGCATGGTCGGCGAGCGTCCTAACCGCTGTGCCACCGACGCACCCATTTATATTACTTCAAGTTATTAAAAATTATGATGAACTGTCAATAAAGGCATAATCATCGACTTAATACGTGTCCTTTGTCTCATTGATAAACTAGATATTTATTTTACTTAATTTTGCTTGGAATGTTGTAGTATGTAATCATAATTGCTTATTATGACAGTTCTATCAATCAATGAATAAAAGAAAAGCTGTTCAGCGAAGAGTTAATCGTTTCAGCAATATCATTCTCTGACTGCGGCACTGGTTGACGCGGGTTTAAATCTCAGAAGGGACATGGGTTCCTTCAAGGCTGCAGATACGTCTGCCTTGCTGATGAGTGCCAACTAGCACGAAACCTAGGTCCAAGGCTTCCTGTGTCCGATTGCCTCCAACTATCTAATAATATCACTCTCAACCTGTACAATTGCATATATATATATATATATATCCATAATGGAACTCAACTAAAATTGAAAGAACAGTAACAATAAGGAGTAGGTTCAGCTGACTTAATCTGTCTTAACACCGGATACATAATTTTTTGTTTCTTAATTATATTAATTCCCCTTTCCCTTCTTCTACTACTGTAACAGCAGAAGGCAAAACATGGATGCAAAGGTATATTTTCAAGTGATCAAACAGCTATTTGTATCTATACGGTTTATATTATTTAAACAATGACTGAGCATGTGATTTTGTTTTACTTTTTTTTATTTATTTCTACACGTTCCCAGTGGAACATAGGGCTTCAAACTAGAGGCTTGAAGTTCCGGAAGCAGTGGCGTTTATTTTTACGGGATGGGGGTTGCTAGCCTCATGCCCAACCTTCCCTCTTTACCAGTCTTATTACTGCATTACCGAAGTAAAGGAGTGCGTCGGCCGGGGATCGAACCCCGGACCATGTGCATGGTCGGCGAGCGTCCTAACCGCTGTGCCACCGACGCACATTACATTAAACGACATGAACTAGAATGCTCAAATACATATATACTATTCTGTTGCTAATGCAGTTTTGAACTGTGGGAATATGTGAAAATAATATTCAACAGTTGGTTTGTAAGGATTAGATTTGTTTATACGAGTTTGACCATGGATTGATATGAGTTAGAGAATCATTGAAAACCAGGGAGTACTGGACAGCTGTTTTTTTATCCTAGTTTTGGAATCGTCGGCGGTATGCACCCACCCACCAGGGTTCGAACCCAGGACCTTCCGATTACGAGGCAAAATCGTTTACCATTCAGCCACTGGGACCCGATTCAATGGCCAGCCCATGAATTCTAACTTCTACCAATTCGTGATTTAGTACGACCGCACCAACCAATGTCATCGATGGGACACCCATCCTCACACTTGACTGGATGGACCTCACTGGTCACGACTTGTCGCTAGAACTCCAGAAAACTCCGTCCTGTAGCAAGTCACTATCGAGCATCAGATTACTTTTCAGGAGTTAGTTTGTAAGGAAAGTCTTGGGTTCGAACCCCAGTGGGTGCGTACTGCCGGTGATTCCAAAACTAGAATAATATTCAGTTGGAACACATTGTCTGTATCACACCACCACACTACTACTACTACACTTCTACTACTTATTATTACTGTTTTTAACTTGACTATCTTTCACTTTTAGTTGAGTCCTACTCAGTCCTATAATTTATATTATGTGATGCAATCTGCTTATTCCTTATTTCACTTTCTACCCGATTACGTAATTGTTGTTTAAAACTTACAACCTCAGTGACGCACATCTTTGGAAACATTCTTTTTGTTGCTAAGACAATCTATTATGTGTAGGCATGCGACTGTACAGGTTGAGAATGATATCATTGGCTTTTTTGCATATGACTCAATAGGGATTTTTAATTTGCATTAATGTCTGTAGGTTAATCATAACTCTATTGATTATTGTTACTTACAACTTTCTTTTTCTTATTTAGGTATATTACAATATACTTTTTGTTCAATGAATAATTTGGCATATTACACGTCTGCATAATAATAATGTCGTGCAACTCTGAACCGTATCCATTTCCCAATGGATTGAATTTATTCGGACAATTAGTGATTGGACCACCTGGTAGTGGGAAAACCACATACTGTTCTGCAATGTATGATTTTCTTACTAGATTAGGTAAGATTGAGTTAACTACTGACGACTTATTTAAATTTTTAAAAAAATAGAATAATGAAATATTCTGTTGTTTTTTGTCTGTTTACTTGTATGAATAATCCTTTATTTTTAGGTGTCAAGTCTCAATCTTTACGCATTTTAAATTGTAGTAAAGTAAGACTGGTAAAGGACTCTGATATTAGAAAAACAGATTGTTTAACGTAATTATATGGGGTAACTAACCTGTCTTATGATTTGATGGTGTTCTCGTGACTTTTGTTGCCTGATCCGCCAAGGGCGATGGGATAGTACGCGACCTAATGGTTGTGTGCAAGTTCTGAAGAAGGCTGTGTGCTACATGCATGCGCCTCGCCCTGAGAATGTTTAGTGCGCCGGTAGTACAGCGGTTAGGACGCTCGCCGACCATGTATATGGTTTGGGGTTCGATCCCCGACTGACACACTCCTTTACCTCACTAAGCCAATAATAAAAGCTGGTAAGAACGAAAGGTTCGACATGAGACTGATAACCCCATCCTGTAAAAATAAACACTTCTCCCGAAACTCCAAGCCTCTAGCTTGAAACCTTATGTTCCACTAGGAACGTGAAGGAAAAAAATATGATATAAGATGCTTCACTTTAAAGACTGTTTGAAACGGTGCTGTGAAACAACTCAGTGTTAAAAAAGCAAACCTATGACATTCATTATAATAACGGTTTTTTGTATTTCCCAATGAATAAAAAACAAAACGATATCGCTGTTTTTACTGATGTTGCGCTATTGAATGCTGCCGCTAATAGCTTTATCAAAGTATTATTAAACCAGAATTTATAAAATCACAGCTTATATATAACAACTTAATCATCGTTCCTCAGCATGATGTCATTTTTGCTTTGTCAAGTTGACCAAATGGTAAAGATAACAACCAGCACCGAGAAATCCACTTGAACTAGAAAAGCTTGAAAAATCATCAGCCAGCAGGTCTACACGTTATAGAATCAGGCCACAAAATTGATTTTGATAATATTGAAATAATCCAGAAATCACAAAGAACGTCTAATATCAAAAGCACTTCATATCGAATGGAATTCAAATTGTCTGAATAGGAATGATAGAATAAAACAGAATTTGACCTGGTTACAACACCTCCTTCCCCCATGAAATAAAAAAATCAACACGGATGTGATAAGCAATTTTATTATGTAAGCACACGCTGCTTTTATAATTTTATACACTTATCAAATCCAACAATCTACACCTGGTTTTTTTTTTATCTTTAAGAACACAATATTCAGCGAAGAGACTCTTTTCAACGAATTCATTATCAAGCTGTACAATCGTATGTATATGGTTTTTAAGAAATTATATCCGATGAGGGAATTAGATTAAAAGTGTGAACACATGAAATAACAATAGTATGAAATGCAATTAAAATATTTATGCTTATAGTCATAGTTAAATGTCAAGTAGCAAAACAATCAATATCATATATAGAAAAATACATAAAGGGTTTAGATTTTGGAAAGGGGTACATAATTATAGGATTAGTAGGCGAATATAAAATGTTACATAACATGGTGTGAAGTTTGATAGTATTGTAAAAATTAAAAAATATAATTTTGGGTCTAAAATGACAAGTGGGAAAAATGGAAACAATTCAGAGTGAGCATATTAATAATAATAATAATAATAATCGTAGTTATCTTTACCAATTTGACAACTCAAAAATGCCACCATGCTGAGGAACGATGATTAAGTTGTTATATATAAGCTGTGATTTTGTAAATTCTGGTTTAATAATACTTTGATAAAGCTATTAGCAGCAGCATTCAATAGCGAAACGTCAGTAAAAATGGCGATATCGTTTTGTTTTTCATTCATTGGGCAATACAAAAACCTTGATTATGGTCAATATCATACACCTAATGCCCAAATTCTTTTCAAACTGTTAAAAGTGAACCTATGACAGTGGCTCAGTTTTATTTGCTACTTTCAGTTGTTAAATTGCATTGAAAAACTCACTTTCCATCTCATCAATTCCATATTCGCTTTGCAGAAACCAAGTATTGAGTTTTTACTGAACACAAAGACCTAACAAGAAATAAAATTTTCTTTTCGACAAGCCATTTTCAAAAGCTGTACAATCGTGTTTATCCATTAAAATACAAGTGTTTGTGTTCTAGAAAATGTTCTACGTAATGTAAAGAATCCGGAAGAGAATGCTGAGGTAGAGATTAAGAGTCGGAGGCTGACATTACATAATAAATGGCCTAATCAATAGAAGTGTACAAAATAGATGAAATCTGTATGAGAAAGGCAGCGTTATTATTAATAAGCGATAACAATAGTAACTATTAAGTTGTAATGATGAACTAAATATCAAACAAGGCAAGAATGTGACCTTGACCATGGTAAGACAAGTGAGCGTCGACAGAGGTTATTTTGGAAGTCCTGACTAACTAATGATTCTACTGAGTATGAATGGCGTATTCGAAGTCTCTTGTGAGATATTAGGGAACTCTATAGGTCACTGTAAAGCAGTCATACAGAGATGCTCGATGTAAAGGGTTAACAGGATGCTAGAGAATAGAACTTTTGACATTCTTCTTTTCTCCTCTGGCTAGGCAAGCAGGACAGTGTTCCAAAATACACTTACAGATTTGATGCTGTGTAGGGTCGATATCCTTTTTTCACAGGAATAGGTAAATCTATAAATACACACAGTTGGTCAGAGGTAGTATTTTGTCTTCGATGGATTACTGTGTTAACTGTCTGCTTGAGAATGGCATTCTGGTCGATATTCTGTTCCATTGTAAGTAGATGTGAACGTAGATCGTCAATCAGGTTCACATTATGACGTTTCAAAGTTCAGTGATGTAGGTAGATATGACTCCTCCGATTTTTAAGGTAAGTGAATGAAATATCTTTATTCAGGCTTCAATGTCACCTTTAAACAAGCCCTCAATTAAAACTGTCTTTTTGAACTTTCTTCTGTATTACATATTATTAGTTTTGTCAAGTCTATTCATGCATATTTTAAGTTTACACTTACAGGAAAAGTGGTTATTGTTTAAAAAGTAAGTTGCTGTATAGTTCATATCAGTGGCTTGAGTTAGTGTGAACAACAATAAACGTTTTTCAACACTTTAGATAGTCAGTACAGTCTTTGAAATCCTTTGACCCTTTTCTTTTGTCATACTTAACATGCTTACTGTTTGTTACAATTAAGTAGTTCATTTTACTTCTAATGTTTTTTTTCGTCAAAGTTTAGTAATCAGTACTTTCCCAGCTTTAAAGTTGTATGTCCTTCAGTCTACTGCATATGATGACGCACATTGATTAATACAGATAAAAATTATCGATGAGATATTGTATCTACAGCTTTTAAATTTCTTCACGAGTCTATTAGTCATCTCTCCTGGTGACCTTAATAATAATAATAATAATCTACTTTATTCCAAAAACAGTACTTATAATACAGAATGGAATTCTCAGCGTTTGTCACAATATTGCATCTGATTTACTCAAAATATAAACAAAATTAACCAGGGGAATTTGTCCACATTTACGATATAAAGTCAAAAATATTCGAAGTACGAGTTGAGAATATTAAATATAATAATAATTATTATAACATCGAGTTTGTTTCAAACAGTATTGTCGATTCAGTTTGGAAATTTTAGCATGTTATAGATTATTGAATCTAATGTTCTGTTGATATAGTATGGTGAGGGGAAATACAAAATTAACAGTTATAACACAGCTTAAATGATGTTCACACTTATGAAAAAATAAACAAATAAAAACAAGAAATTGAGGGGATTATAAATATAAGAAGTACAATAACAATAAAGGTTGATGTTGTAAGGATGGAGGAAAATGGTTTATTTAGTAGTGCAAAGAAGGTTAGTTAGTTCATGCCTAACACTATTTTCATCACATAAAGTACGTGCCAAATATGGTATAGTGGAATTCTTGTACTTAGACGTACGTGCATAAAGTCTTCTGAAAAGACTTCTTGTTTTACTTGAGGAGACACAAATTGAAAGCTGATGGTAAAGTGGATGCTTACAGTCTGAAAAAAATCCTTTAGCGAAATTTTCGCTTGAAATCAAGTGTCTATCAATGATGATGTCAATGATATGACCCAATGGGATGCCACTCACCCTACTGACAGTCTTCAGAGTTCTACGAAGTATGACAGTCTTTTTTAAGCAATCCAGAAAATAGTAAGGGTGAACAGTGAAGAAGAATAGGTGAAATGCACGAGTTGACAAACTGTAAGAGGAGAGGTTGAGTTATGTCTGAGTGCCTTAACTTCTTAATATAAAAAGTCAGACGAAATATTCTTTTATAAATCGCTAAAACATGGGAAGACCAGGATAGGTCAGAAGAAAGAATTAATCCAAGATACTTAACTTCAGACTTGATGTCTATATCAGTATCATCAATTTTGCAAGGGTCATAGGAACCAACAGCTTCATTTAACTTTCTTTTACATCGGAAACTGAAATTAACAGTCTGAAATTTGGAAGGATTTAGTTTAAGACCATTAGACGAAGACCATTTGCTAACTTCTGATAGAAAGCTATTCATCTTAACAGACTTTGAAACAGTTAGATCATTGGCATACTTAACAAAGTTCATTTCATCATCAGAGTGAGGCAAGTCATGCAAGAAGAAAGAAAACAGAAAAGGACAGCGCCTTGAGGTACACCAGCCTCAGTAAACAATGAAGTGGATGACTTCCCCTGACATACAGTGTACTGCTTTCTTCCTGAGAAATAAGAATGCAGCCATTTGACAACCCAACAGTCAGTTTGAGTTTCAGCAAGCTTGTTTAACAAAATGTCCCTAGGTACTGAGTCGAAAACAGATATTCATACAACTAGAGTTGATGTTTCAGTAGGATAGCTGCAATTATAAGTTTAAAATTACAGATTATTCCAAGACAATCTTACTCTTGTCGCTGTCAAGGTACGACTCTTTAGGTAGATAAGCAGCCCTGTGATTATTATTATCATTATTATTGTTTCCTTTAATTCCTAGAGGAACATAGGGCTTCAGCCGTGCGTCTCTATTGCGTTCGGTTCTCTGCTAGAGTCTTCACCTGGCTCCATGTCTGCCCACGCGTTTTCATCTCCTCGTCACATCACCTCCTCCAAGTCACCCTTGCACTGACGACCAACTCGCCGCTTCCCGTTCGGGTTCCACTCGAGCAATGGCTTGTCTAGTGATGTCACTTGATGGATTGTTTCCTCAGAGTATGACCAGCCAATCCATCTCCATTTCTTCCTGCCTATTTGTTTCACAATCGGTTCCTGCTGTGTTGGTTCGCTCATTGCCAGAGATCTCTGTTGCTGATCAACTCTGGCCGGCCATCTGATCTTGAGTATTGAGGGAAGGCAACTGTTAATGAAGACCTGTAGTTTGTTTGAGATGCTCTTTATGACGCGCTGGCCAAGTCTCTGATCCGTATGTATAGTAGCACTGACTTCACATTGGAGTTGAAAATCCGGATCTTATTTTTGATGCTGAGTGTTGTTGACCTCCACACAGACTTGAGAGTAGTGAAAGCTTGTCTTGCTTTTCCGATTCTTGCTTTGATATCCTCGTCAGTTCCGCCTGTAGTTGAAACGATGCTTCCCAGGTAGGTAAAAGTGGTAGTTTCTTTCAGCTTCCTTCGATTTATGCTGATTGTTGTCTGTTGTTGTTGTAGCTGTTGGTGGTGTTACCCGGGAATCTTCATCACCTCTGTCTTCTCTATGTTCACCTGAAGTCCTATTTTTGATGCTTCTTCTGCCAACTTGTTGCTTTTCGCTTGCATATCTTCCAGTTTGTGGGAAATCAGACATATAGGTCACCGCCGAAGTGCAGATCCTCCAAGTTTTTTGTGTGAGTCCATTTTATGCCTGTTTCCTCATTGCCCGCTGTTTTTCGCATTATCCAGTCTACAGCAATCAGGAAAATCATTGGCGATGGTAGGCAGTCTTGTCTTACTCCTGTCCTCACTTCGAAGGATTCCGTGAATTTCCCGTTGTGGATGACTTGGCATGCAGCATTGTCGTACAGCCCTGTGATATAAACTCTCAAATGACTACTTTTATTTTACCTATAAATAATAATGCTTTCTAATTTTTAAAAGAAAATGAAACTAAAAGTAATGTTTGAAAAATCCGCGTTTCTTTTTTTTAAAATTCTCTGTTTTCAATTGTTTTTTTTTTTTTTGTTTTCTACTCACATTCAGGTCGAAAAGTTGCTGTCATCAATTTAGATCCAGCTAATGATAGTTTACCTTATCCATGTTCAATTAATCTCTCTGATTTAATTCGTTTGGATGAAGTTATGGATTATCTTGGCTTAGGCCCAAATGGGGGATTAATTTATTGTATGGAATACCTGTACACTAATCGTCGTTGGTTAGCTGATCAATTGGCAGTATTAAAACAAAAAGAGTCTAAAATCTATTTGATATTTGATTTGCCTGGTCAGGTAAATTGTCTTAGATAAAATTCATATATTATTGCAAAATTATTTACTATTATTAATGTTGTCATTACGTGATCAGTTATGAGGTTAGAAATTAGTTATATTGATTTTTACACTTAGACAGAGTCGATAGTCCTTTGTCTAAATTGCCTTGGAAATGACTCTTAACAAATGTATCTCACAGAATGGATCACTTTATTAATAAACTGGAATGAATTGTCAATCTACAAATTATTTATAAATTGAACTGATCACACTTACCAATCTCACACCTAAGTATTTTTTTCCCCTGATATAAGGATAAAACTTGGTCACTGTGGTAGTGTATAACTCCATTATGGATAAAATTTTATTTTGATAAAATCACACAGTGCTTGTTATACAGTAATATTTAATGATGACTACGTTTTGAGCACAAATTATTACTGCTCATAATCATATCAAGGTACTCACTCACACAACTTTCTTGCTTCATTTATATACATGAGTAAAAATTGATTAGACATTTGAATAAAATCAATATAAGATAAAGTACATTCGGAAATAATAATATTAGTATTTTCAATAAAATGCAATAAGATGAGAAATAAGATGTTTTGTAGTAAAATAAATAACTTGTTATAATGTGAACTGAAATACATTTTAACATTATTTATTATCCCGTGATTTAACTGGTAATAATATCTTCCATATCTCTGGCATTTGCGTTGAATCACTTCTATTGCATGTGTTGTGTTGGGTGTAGACTCGATGAACCAGGATCAATTTTTACCCATGAATATAAATGAAGCAAGAAAGTTGTGTTAGTGAGTGTCTTGATATGATTATGAGCAGCAATAATTTGTGCCTGAGACGTCATCATTAAATATTACTGTATAACAAACACTGTGCGTGTGTCGAATGTCTAATAACAGGTAACACCATAATAAATATTTTAATTATTATTTTTTTATTAAAAAAGGGTAATAGTAAAGAATGGACACCAAGTTCAGACGACCTTGAAACGGCCAATCAGATTCTTCCAAGTGGAAAGTGGCATTTAGTTTATAAAAAAATGTACTTATAAGATATATATGTAATAAAAATGAATTATACGGGGTATATATCTCTAATATGCTGCAAAAATTGGTTCCATTTTCTCATAGGAGTGTCTATAGACATATCAAACCAATGTCGATACAAAAATTCATCTAAGTGACTATATACTATATCATTTCGGGAACCATTTACCATTCTAATACCTTTTTTTCATATGGGCCTAGAATCCTTCGATAGAATTTGTATGGGTTCCGCTTATAGGATCGACCAATTCAAAAGAATGATTGACTTTATGGGGAATATAACCTAGTGATGACAATTGTGAATAACCTCTCCACTCATCTGTGTGGTGAATGGTAGTGCTTTGGAGGACCAGTCGTTGTATAATTGGTATTAAAACATTAGCACTTCTGTTTGGGATGCGGTCTACAAACCCTTTTTGAAGATTTGTGTTGTAAAGTGCCAGCACGAAAACATGACCGCGGCGATTCATTTTTCGTTTAATAAGTACTGTTTCATCAATATGAATGACAACACCAACTCCTCCAAGTACAGAAGTAATTCCATTGATCTTTTGTGACGCAATATCCTGACAGTACTGATACCACTGCACTGTTGATATTTGAGCATTCCCTGTTTCTGAAGCTGTAGCAGTTACTGGTCGCTTCAGTAGCCAATTGTGGCATATACGCAATATTTTATTAAGGGAGAGTTTCGATTTCGAGAAGAAAGTGTCTAAAAAATCATCATAATATACGACTTACCAACTCTTACAAACTTCCTCATATAACAGTGATTGCAACTGAATGCATAACCATCAATAGGCCGGTAATGCCTTTACAGAATCGTTATCCCTCCACATATGCATATTTTAGTCCTCCGTATCAACCCATTGTCGATACAGTAGTCAAAAACCAAATCTGGGTGGAACTTGTAACGGAGATTATGAAGAGCATCCATTTGTAATGCTGAGCGTTCTGATTGGTTTATTCAAGGTCATTTGACCTTGGTGTCTACTGTTTACTCTTGCCAATAAAAAGAATGTAGAGCTGTTGTCATATAAAAATTGTTGTATCTTCTTTTTTCTAAGCTCCCAGCTTTTCTTTGTCGGAACGCCTACTATGATATTTTGTTTTGCCTTTATAAATTGGTTGGCGCGATGACACAAACTTCCAGTTTTCTTTTAATTACTAATTCGTGGTTATAACGCCCAGTTAAGTTGGTTACTGCATGAAATGTCGAAATCTAGAGTTCTAAAGCAGACTAACGTGTTTGTACACATACAAACACACATACACACAAGCATTTTAATGACTATAATATCCAGTGTACAAGTGTATTCGTGTTTTTCATCTACACTACCGTGTAATCTCAGCAAAAGGAAAAATAGTGGAGATAAACAAAGAAAGACCAGTACAGGAGGCATATATGATGCATAAATGATCTACTTTTTAGACAATGAAGTGTCACGTGCTGAGGGACATATGGTCTGACTAAACATTTTTTCAGTTTTTCTTCCACATATATATACGTATATCTGTATAACTAGTAGTTTGTCCTTGTCCTTGTATGAATAATGAAGGATGAATGACTCATTCCATGTTTCTTTTTCATTCTCATATTTTTTTTTCAATCTCACGTTATAACTTGCCTTTTGTCCGTATGTAATTATGAAAAGTGAAGGAGAAAAAAAGAGTTTTATCATCATTTGTGATAGATTCACTAAATTCTTGACTTGACTTTAACTGTTCAAGCCATATTTAGACAATTTAGGAAGTAGAATGTTAACTAGCTACTAGACAAGTCTAACTCCATGCATTTTTACTCTTATATTTATACTGACTGAAGCCCTATGTTCCTCTAGGAACTAAAGGAAATAATAATAATAATAATAATTTATACTGAGAACATATCAGATATTACAAGGTAGTTGTATAGGTTAGATTGTAGGTAGAAACTGTTGAAGTCTAACAGATAAAAGCAGTCACAAGGATAACCTCTAACAATGAGTGAAAATGTTTGATTTCAAGAGGATAAGCTTTGAGAAACAGGTTCTCCAATTAATTGTAGATTAAATTAACTATATTATTTGGTTACAGGATTTCATCATGAGCTGATATCGGTTAGAGAACCATTGGAAAACCTGCAGGGAGTACTGGATGGCTGTTTCGTCAGCATAGTTTGGGACTCTTCATCAGTACGCACCCACCTCCAGGGTTCGAACCTAGGACCTTCTGGTTACAAGGCGAGCTAGCTCGTGGACCATTAAGCCACTGGGACCCGATCCAATGACCAGTCCATGAATTGTAACTTCTGCCAATTCACGACATAGCGCGACTGCTAGCCAATGTCTTCGGAGAGTATTTGTCCTCACACCTGACCTGCTGCACCCTATTGTTTCTTTTCCACTAAAGAAGACTCTCTGTGCGATCTATCTAATAGATGAAGTATATTCTATTAGACTGCTCGAGTTTTATTCTTTTTACTGGTAATATCAATTTCTTAGTTATGGCTTTAAGCATATTGTTGAACCATAGTGCCTGTAGTATTTGATAAATAGCTTCTCTATGGTATCATTTTTGTTCTGCTTATTTAGCTGATAAACAGTGTAGCATTTGTTCATTCATTCTTCTCCTGGGAAACATACTCAACCACAAAGACTTACTGGTCAGGTAGGTTTCTCGAAAGGTGCTAAGAACCAGAGGTTGGACAAATGATGAATAACTTTTTGTCAGAAATTAGTCAGTGGTCCTGGTCAAATGGCCTTAAGCTAAATCTCTCCAAATGTCAGGCCGTTAATTTCACTCTCAGACGCAAATGCGACTTACATGAACTGATTAGTTAGCATGGTTTCACTATCATAGATAGTAATGAAGTTGGAAACCAAATCTAATGTTAAATACCTTGGACTGTGTATTTTCCTCTGATCACCTTTCCTGGTCTTCCCGCATCATGTTAGTTTCCAGAAAGATATTTTGTTTGACGTTCTGTGTAAGGAAGTTAAGATGATCTGGTATCATTCCGTCTCTACTGTTACCGTTTGTTAATTCTTGTATTCTGCCCATACTTCTTTACTGTTCCTCCTTAAATCTTTCCTGGGCTACTTGAGAAAGACTTTGTTATACTGCGTAGGGCACTAAAAGCTGTCAGTAGGGTGAGTGGGGTGTGTTGCTAAACCAACTCGTTAATACTATTGCAGATAGACACTTGGATTCCTGCAAGAAATTAGAAAATATTATCCTGATATAAGTATAAAACTTGGGCACTGTGGTAGAGTATAACTCCATTATGGATAAGATTTTATTTTGATAAATCACACAGTGTTGTTATACAGTAATATTAACTGATGACCACGTTTCAAGCACAAACTATTATGGCTCATAATCATATCAAGTCCTGTCAAACTCTAAACCTCCTCTCCATACACAACTCTCGCCACACGCATCTCATCAGGTAGGGGAACTAGAAGCAACTATAGAAAGAAGACTGTATGCTCGGACGACTAAGTACAAAAACTCTACGATACCTTATTTAGCACACCTTTTTTGTGTGAGGAAAGTGTAAGACACGAAATTACCAGCTTATTGAGGAACTCTAAGTAAACGGCATTGTTTTTTCTTGTTCTCATTATTATATTGTCGTTAATATTTTCGCTTGATTTAGCTTTATATTCACTTCTTATTGAACAATAGTATTAATGTAAATGCCGCATGGATGTACCTGCATCCCCAGTGAGTGATAGTGTTCCCTATCTAAGACTCAACCTCTTCACCCATCCAGATAACGAGTCTCAAACAGGACGAAATGCGCATCCTAGATTCCACTGCTATTTACCATCAACCAGAATGAATCTGTTTTACAGTAATGAAAGTTATCACTACTGACCGTACGCATAATCATCTTACGTACACTCAATTCTTGCATTACATAGTAAATTCTCCTTTAATTTAACATTGATGTTTTTTGTTTTTCTTTTATCCCTCCTCATAGGTTGAACTGTACACACATCATCCATGCATGCGTCAACTGATTTGTTATCTTACTGATAAACCATTCATCTCAACAACAACATCCAATATACAACGACTTTGTCTTCCGTCGACAGTAGATTCATCAGTATCTAGTGTAGGTGATTCACCGCATTGTCTTGATTTACGCTTGACTTCAGTTCACTTAGTTGATTCACATTATTGTTCTGATGCTGGAAAATTTATCTCCTGTGTACTTACGTCTTTATCATCTATGCTACAATTATCTATGCCACATGTGAATATATTAAGTAAAGCTGATTTAATTGAACAATATGGTGAATTAGATTTTAATTTAGACTTTTTTACTGAAGTATTAGATTTAAAATATTTAATTGATCGTTTACATAAAACAAATACGCATGATAATGATGATGATGGCGGTGATGATAATGAGGATTTCTTCAACACTAAATATAAACGTTTAAATCAAGCTATTATCGAGTTAATACAAGATCGTTCATTAGTACAATTTTTGCTATTAGATATACAAGATTTATCGCATATGGAACGTGTTATGCGTTATGTGGATCGAGCCAATGGTTATGTATTTGGGCCAAGTGAACAGCACAATTTACAAAGTTTATTACATTCAGCATCAGGTGTTGAACTGGCTCCCGATTGGATTGGAATGATTCAAGAGAAATACATGACAAGAAGTGATAATAATAATAATAATAATAACCCTGTTAATGAGGTGGAGGATCTACGAAACAGTGAACCTCAAATTGACTTATTTGCTTAACACTGTATTAAAATTGTAAATAATATCTCCTGTTAAGTTGATATTAAAACAATAGTTTTTGACATCATGTATACAACTTTGTTGTATTAAACTGAAAGTTTGAAAACCAAAATGATGAAATCTTAATAGATGCAAATGCCTTTTATATCATTTATGAAATATATCGTATTTCTTTTTTTTTAAATCCTTGATTGAAGCTTCTATTCACTCCAGTAGAATCTATGATACGCATTTCGTCCTAGTTAGGACTCATCATCTGGATATATTCCCACTCACTGCGGAATGCAGGTGCATCCAGTTAGCTGACGAGTCCCAAATAGGACGAAACGCGCATTGTCCTGGATTTCACTGCTAGTCACCATCCACCGATTAACTTCTAATTACATGCCCAGATATCGTCGAAGCATCTGCACAAGAAGCCGCCGACACGTCAACCTAAGACCGAGCACTTCGGTCCAATCAATCGACGGGATAATCTAAAATTGAATTAAATAATTCTGTTCACTGCGTTCATCAGTTGTTTTCAGTGTCTGATGGAATCCATTCTTATGCATTATTGTATCATATGCTGAGAATTACTCACTGTATCAAAAGTACTGTTTAGAATAAAGTTGTTATCATTATTAATATTAATTATTATTCAAGAGCTATAGCGTTGGATACAGACCTGAATATCTTCAACATATAACATCCAATCGAATGTAAATTGAATCATGCCAGCTAACTAGATTTGATACGGTAGACGTTGGATTTACTTATACACAAAACAAAAGAAACTTATCAGCATGGTTAGGAATATTATATAACACTTACTTTCTCCTACATGATCGGTGCTCAAATATTCCATTTTTACGAATTGGTAGAAGTTAGAATTGGGGAGGAGGCTATTGGATTCTATCCCTGAGACTCAATAATATACAAGCTGGTCTTGTATGCTAAAGGTCTTGAGTTCTATCCCTGGCAGGGTCATGGGTGAGTATTGCCGAACAGTCTCAAACTAGGACGAGACAGCTGTCCAGTACTTCTTAGTTTTCAGTGGTTCTCTAAATGAAGTCAGTTCTTGATATTCCATTAACAGTAAACCACACATCCCACATTTCTCTATTTTTAAAGATGAATTTGAGATTATGATATAGCCATGTGGCTTACTGGATTTTTTAGGAAGGTATCTTGTGCAGACAAGTGAAGTGTCTAAAAAACCGAGCAGAAACTTTGAGCAGTATATCAGAAAACCTGAATATTGAAATAAAACAGATGAAAGAATTATTTGTGCTAAATAACTATCCCATAGAATTCATTAGGAAGACCAAAAAATCCTATAATAAGGGAAAATGTAACAGGGAAACTTTGAGCCATAATATAAAAAAGGAACTTAGGACATCTACAATTTTACCATGAAAGGAAGAGACATATGGAATCCAATGCAGGAATTAAGGTGGCATTTAAACTAACGGACTCAGTGAGGCAAAATTTAATTTACAAAATACCTTACAATGATTGTGTTATGACCGGAGCTACGACCTAGTAGAGTATGAGTGAATACTAACTTATTGCTCTGGCTAATCTGTCCAAACTGCACGTCAACAACACCCCAGCCGGCATGCGAAGACAGAAGAAAAGACTGGACGTTGGGAAGAGAGATTTTACTGCCTCAAAACAACAGTCAAAAAAGGTTGACAGTGCTTGCGTACTTTGTGTTTGAAGTGACCTTGAGAGGCACTAATGTCAGTGACAAATTAAACAGTGAACAACCAATAGGATTTCAAAGGTCATAAGTAGTGTGAGATAAAACTAGGTCACAAATCAATAAGTGGAGTGAGAGACATACGAACTTGACCACTTCACCTATTTAGGAAGTTGTATCAGCACCAACGGATTGATTGGTGACGAAATCACAGCACGGATCCAGAAAGCTCGGGCTGCTTTCGCTAACTTACACCATCTCTGGCGTAGGCGTGACATCCGGCTGTCAACCAAGGGACGTGTATACTGCTCAGCAGTTCGCTCCGTCCTTCTCTATGGCGGTGAGACGTGGCCATTGAGAGCGGAAGACATGAAGAGATTGTCTGTTTTTGACCACAGATGTTTACGACCTCTTTCTCACGTTAGGTGGTATAATAAGGTAAGTAACGTTGACATTAGGCGTAGAGTGTTGGGCAAAGAGGGAAAATCACTCGAAGAGGCTATAAAGTTACATAGATTGAGATGGTTAGGTGACGTGCTGCGCATGCCTAACCATCGTCTCCCCCGACGGGCATTACTAGCTGATATAGGTGCAGGTTGGAAAAGAGTAAGAGGTGGCCAAACAAAAACATGGCCTCATCAGTCCATGAAATCCTTGACAGTTAAACTGAGTCAGGTAGGGAGATGCAGACTTCCGAGTTGGGGCCCGCCCTCGGGACTCTAAGAATCAATGGCTGGAGACACTAGGTGACATGGCTCAAAATCGTTGTCAATGGCTTACGCAGATGTATTCAGTCTCTGTAATCTTTCATATTCCTCTCTACCATTACTCATTCTGTTTCACTCTTATACTTGTCAAAACTCTATTGATTCTCTTCACTCATTTTCTTGTCTACCATTGTGTGCTATTTTGGAACGTGGCAACTGGAACTGCTGCACTTCGATGCCAAGTTCTATGTTGAATCCAGACAGACAGACAGACATACGAACAGACGTGTAGAAAATTAGGTCTATATATCAGACTGCTAGGCCAGACCAGTAGATCGGCGTATTGGATGGAACATAGGAATTTAGCTAAGTGTAGAATGACTAACTGTAGCTGCAATTCATGTGCTAACACATGCTTAAAGCATGACACAGCGACAACACCAGAGATATGGAAGATATTCCTACGAATAAAATTAAAGCATAAAAATTAAAAGTGCGTCGGTGGCATAGCGGTTATGACGCTTGCCGACCATACACATGGTCCGGGGTTCGATCCCCGGCCACAGACGCACTCCTTTACCTCGCTAAGCCAGAAATAATGCTGGTGAAGAGGAAAGGTTGGGCATGAGGCTAGCAACCCCATCCTGTAAAATAAACACTGCTACAGAAACTTCAAGCCACTAGCTTGAAACCCTATGTTCCACTGGGGAACGTGAAGGATAAAATACATAAATAAAAATTCAAAGAATAATCGAAACAAAGTTTGAAAGTTATTTGAGTTCCTTACAAGCAATAAATTGTGCTCGAAACGTTTTCAGTAAACAATACCGTATCAATGTGTTTTTAATAAAATAATTCCATGATGGAATTATACTCTACCACAGTGCCCAAATTGCATTCTTATGTAAAGATATGGTGCAATAAAAGTATCACATTACAACAGAGAGTGTTATTTTAACGACGTTTATAAGGAGTTTGTATAGTGTGTATTTGTGAATGTCGTCGAGTACTAGTTCACCAACTTTTGTATCTAAAATACTAGTTGTCATTTTGTTACATAAATTATAAAACACAAAATAGTCTCGGGTTCGTATAGGTTGTAGATTTCGCAGTTGTATTTCAACCCTCCTCCTAATACATTTAAGAATGCTGTATTTAACTCATACCGAAAATCGTAGGATTTCTTGATTTTGATACTGCCTTCAACTCATTGAATAAGACAACTCTTTAAAAATATTTGCTAGAAATGTGTTCTTTATAAAATAAAGGAATTATAAACTCAATACAATATCGTCAACCTGAATGTAGACACGACTGAGTGTTCATACTGCTCGAAATCGGCTGTGGAGTTAAGTAGGTTGAATTGTTAGACTTTCGAATTTTTCAGGAATGACATCTTTTTAACAGGACTATGAAATATACATGAAAATCTGCCATTTACAAAAATACATTTACTTAGATGAATACAGTAGTAGAAGTTATCGTTACAGAGTGAATACAACAGTGTGTGAATCAGTCAGGTAAACATTTACCCGAAGAAACAGATTTTAATATACTGAAATTTGTGACTTTCTAATGTTTGTTTTAGCGAATCCAAATGATCACTTCAAGAGTAAACAACTCGATGATCTCAATTTAGTGTGGTGATTAGTAGTGTAATCCAGAACATCTATCTCCTCCTATCTGTGACTCTTCCTAGTAGTCTGTAGTGCACCTTCTACGTCACCAAATATACCTAGGGTTAAAATTAATAGATCAAATCGAATCAACTTGATATTAGCTACTAAATAACCGTCTAGCCTGCCTGCGGATGCTTTAAATGTCCTAAGTCTTGTTTTAACGGGAACGCATCCGACCAGACTCGGACTCCATTTGCAAACCTGACTGATAGAATTCAGTCTGCACCAAACAAAGGACCAGACACACACATTACACTAGTTACTGACTAGTGTCCAATCAAAAATATCCAATACAGTCCTACAGGAGGTCAATCTCGAGCCCGAATAGCTCAGTGGTAACGTCTTTGACTGCAGGCAGCAGCACTGGGTGATGTGGATTCGAATCTCAGAAGGGACACGAGTTCCTTCGAGGTTGCAGATACGCCTTGCTGACGAGTACCAACTAGCACGAAACCTAGGTCCAAAGCTTCCTGCCGATCGCCTCCAACCATCTGACATCAACAATTCAAAGTGCACTGATAGGATCCGGCATAAAATAGTATATCAGTCATTTCTCACGCATACTGTGATTGATTATGCGATCAATCATTTCTCATGGCTGTGAGCCGACTTTATTGTTGTAAATTAAATGTGTAAATACCATGTGTCGTTTTTCTAATAAATATACGGTACAGCACAGCATCTTACAGTCACAGACCAGCCTTTGTCTTTTGATATTTGCGTGGCTCAGTGATTCGGAAGGTGCAACTGACAAATAGGCATATTAGCGTACCAGTCTAGTTCATTACCGTTATAACAATTAGCAGGCGCAGACATAACATGCACCGTGATGGCGAGCTACCTAGAATGATGGCCACATTACAAACCTGACTGATGGAATTCAGTCTGCACCAGACAAAGGACTAGACTCATCACACTAGTGTCCAGTAAAAGTGTACTGATGGCTTCGATAAGGAGGCATATTACGTTTAGTAAGGCTGGTATGTAGTAGCTGATCAATAGCCTTACCAGTACCTTACAAATCTATATATCAACAATGATGGATCATTTTGGCACACTAAAACAAACAGCGGGAAATTAAGTTTCATCGGTCAAAAACTGGCACTCTTTGCTCATGAGGTGGATATCGTAACCCAGGGAGTATTGCAGCAA